ATTCAGCTTTGTTCGGGTATTTTCCCACGTCATTGTAGTTGTGCTTTTAAAGTTGTAGCAACGTTTCGGCAGAATCTCATCTGCCATCATCAGGCTTCTGTATAGTGTTCATCTGTGAGTCAGACTTTTACAGTGGTTTCAGTTTTAAATTTGGGGCTAGCCTACTGCTGTGCCAGAATGGTTTTTTCTTCATCCTGATTGGTTGGGAGTCTTGGTGTGTGTTTATTGGTCTTGGAGTTTGCTGTGTTCTGCTTGATTGGTGTTTCTAATATCTTCTGTCTGTTTTTTGGCTCTTTTTGTATCTTGACTGGCTGGCAACATTGTGTTACTTTATTGGAGGCCTTTAGTGCAGCTTGGCTCCGGGTAAAAATGACGGCTATCATTAGTTAGGAAGCTAGGTTTCATCTGGGTGCCTGGTTGGGGTGTGTTTGAGCTGGAGATATCAGGGGGGATCTGTTTGTGCCCAGGTGTTTGCCTGGCTAGTGGTGTGGAGATTTTTTTGTTTGTGAGTGCAGGCTTCCAAATAATTGACAGTGTGGTGGAATCATCTCTTCTTTTCATGCCTTCAGGTCTTTTTTCAATCTCTATGGCTTCTCTGATGATTCTGTGGCTGGGGTTTTCTATAGTGGCTAGGGTTTTGGTGCCATTGAAGTTGATGCTATGACCTGTGGCTTCCATGTGTTGGACTAGTGAGGAAGTGTGTTCCAGCTTTTTGACTGCATTTTTGTGTTCATCCAGGCGGGTACTTATTCTTCTATTGGTCTGTCCAATGTATGTGGCCGGGCATGATGCACAGGGGACTTCGTATATGCCTTGGTTTTCCAGGTCAATTTTATCTTTGGGGTTTCTAAGGATGGCTGCTATTTTTCTGTCTGTTTTGAAGGCAGTCTTGATGTGATGTCTGTGTAGTATCTTACTAAGATAAGTATCAAATATTCAAATATGCCATCAATCCTATATAAATAAGTTATCCAACCTATAATTACATCATGGCTGTATTGTTGTCTTGCCCTGTATTTTAATTTAAAATATGTTGTATATACTTCAGTTGATTTAAAATAGAACAGCAGACTTTAATTAGGACTGTGTGATTTATTCACTGCCAGATTTAAACAATATATATGCCTTAGCACTAAAATATACTTACTATTCATAACAAATAAACAGCCTTTGTATGACCATCAAGTCCTGATGTACTTCAGTTCAGTGTCTATTGGTAGCTTCTGTCTTATCTGCATTTTCAGGTAAACGTCAAAAGTTTTACTTAACTAGGTGCTTTCTGCCTTAAGATTGAACAGGGGCCTTTAATTACAATTAAAAAGCAGACATTCAAAATCCATTTACCTTTGAAGAAATTTAGAAAACTCTTTAAATTTTGCCAGCATCTGAAATGGAACAAAAGATAGTGTAAAGCAACACAATAACCTAGTATCTTGGTCCTAATGATTGTGACAGCAGCTCTTTTTCACTTAACAATGTTAAAAGTGAACTTTTTTGTACTTTTCTATAATGTGAAATTCATTATTTCAATTGAACAGCTGAATCACTTTACTTGCTACTTAGCTATGGTGCAAGAGGACTTACAGTCAAGGTGATTTTACTATAAGAATTTTTAACCACGGAGCAGGGGTGGGATTCTCCCTGGTCAGTCCGGTTCTATAGAACTAGTTGTTATGCCCAGTTCGGAGAACTGGCAGATCGCACCACTGGCGGGCCTCTCCCCTCCCCACCAGGCCCACTCGCTCCTTACCTTCCAACTTGCCTGCATTTGCCTAATTTTTGATAAGTTGCTATTTTCTCTTTTATTTTCCAATCATCAGCTGTTCCTACTATCAGCTGTGCCAGGAGATTTAGATTAGCTAGAAAGCAGGAAATCGTTGGATTTCTTGCTTTCTAGCTAATCTAAAAGCAGAGCTGAACCTTCCTTAGGATTGAAGCTTCTATTTTTTAGTGTAGACTCAGGTAGCAGATTGCAGAATGGTAGATCTCTTAGTGAATCTGTGATTCTGGGAGCAACTCAATCTGCCTGCCTGCTTTGCCTGATTTGAGTAAAAGTTGCTCTTTTTTATAAAAAAATAATATTTACATAAATATTTACAATATTTACATACAAGCCATGCCCACCCAGTCATATGACCACCAAGCCACACCCACAAATTAGGCCACACCCACAGAACTGGTTGTTAAGAAATTTGAATCCTATTCTTGCCTTGGAGAATAAACTACTACTTTTTTGTGTGTGTAAATTTTATTTGAGTTTTCACAGAGAGAAAAAAAATACAAAGAAAACATCTTTTTTGAAAGTAGCATAATCCCGGGTTACATTTCTTTGTACAGACACAAATTCAGGTTCATGCTCATATTTATATTCTATTCCATATCTTATTACTATTTTACATTTTCTCCATAGCTTCTCCCCTCTTTTAATTTTCTCAATTTTATTTTAATGATCTCATCTCAATTCAAATCATTGTATTTATATTTTTTGTCTGTCCTGTTTCAATTATCTATTATCTTTTCTCATTAAACAAAATTTCTCCTGTAGTTACTGATTGGAGTATGACGCCTTTATATCTTTTCCCTAAAGTTGTAACATTCAATATAATACATAACTTCCATTCGGATTTTGCTTGGTACATTCTTAAAATACACACTGTATTCTTAAAAATATATATTATAAATGTATATAATTAAAACAACATTCCATTCCAATTCAATTCTATCATTAATATTAATATTCATTAAAGTCTTAACATCTTTAACATTACTTTTCAATTAAATATCATACTTCTATGGGAACAATTATAAGCTTTCCATAGTTAATTTCCCCCCCTTCACTTATATTTTATAAAACATTAACTAATTAAAATGTTCCCGCTCCTTCCTAATTCAATTTTCTCATTTATTTTATTTCACTTATTTTATTCACAAACATTTCACTAAATTACACTATTTTATCCCTCATTTTAATCATACGTTGTTTCCAATTTTCTAAAGTTATTTCTATTACTAATATAACAATACAATCTTATGTACCTTTACAGAATCCCTTTTTCAGTTAGATTTTCACCCATTATTTCTAAATAGGTCCTGTTTCTCTATATCTTGCTCCAGTCCTTTGTAACTTCTTTTCCTTTCCTTCTTCCCTCTCTTCTTCTCTCTCCCCTTTTTACCTCCTTGTCTCTCTACCTCTATTTCTCTCTTCTATATTCCCCTTTTCTGTTGCTTTCCAGTATTATACTTATTTTTTGAATTATTTTTCTTTTCTTTGGTTGTTTTTTTAAGTCTTAAATTCTCCATTCTCTTTCCCCCTTTTCCTTTTTCTCCCCCACATAAAATTGCTTGTTCATTAAAGATGGCTTCTTCTTTGTCCCAGTCTTCTTGTTTTGCAGTCTTGTTGTTTCTCATAGTTCCAAATCTCCATTTCTAAGAATTGAAAAATGAAGCCAAAAGAATCCTTTCCTTCTTGTGCATCTTCTTTGTACTTTTTAAGTTCCATTTTCAATTCATCCAGAAGTGGTGCCATTGTATAAATTTTTAAACAACCACCCGATTGATTTTAGTCATTCAAATATAATAACCAAGAATCCAAAGATCACCAAATAATCCAAATACATGCAAGCTGTTTCTTTTTTGCTCTTTTTTTCACTTTCTCCTCCTGGGGTTACTATTTAGTTGTAAAGTTTCAGTTAAAATGTATCTTTTAGAAGTCTTGTTGAAGTTTTACTGTAGATTCTTTTTAATTCCAGGCAGTCTCCTCCCTCTTCCAGATCCTTCCCTTATTCTTTTTCTCTCCCTTCCTGCTTATGAAAAAGAAAATTTTTAATGTCCAGAAATCTTTATTATCCCTTTGGCATTTTGTTTTATTTTCAGCTTAATTGCCTATTGATGTCAAAGCGTATTTTTCCGATTTCTTATTTAAGCCTCTTAGTTGTCAGTATAGGGAAGGAGAGAGAGAAAAAAAAGCCAAACCTTTCCCTTTTCACTTTCCTTCGCTGCTTCCGACTCTTCTTTGGGAGCGATGTTATTTTTTTGTAAGTTTAAATTCCAGGATACCTGAGTTGTTGCTTTTACAATTTAACCCGGTCAGCCAAAACTTTCACTTCTTATCTTCCTCCTGCACATTCTTTTCCGATCGAGTTCTTCTTTGAGGTGGCCATTTCTGACCACCACTGCAACCGCCTTCGGCAAAGGGAGTAATGGCCAGCTGAGGAGGAGAAATGCGGCTGTCCTCAACCCTGCTGGTGGTCTCCCCCCTCTTCACCACCTCTACGGGGTGGCTTAGCCCCGAAACCAGCCGGCTCGGGGTGCTCCAGCAGTGAGCCCAGACCAAAACCACGCACGATCGCGGATTTCTGTTTGTCGCCGAAGCCCTTCAAACTGGAAGTTTCTGAGAATAAACTATTTCTATTGATGGGCATCTTAACTTTCTATGCCCTTCTCTGGTTCTTTTCTTTTCTCCTTCCACACACAATAATACACAAAATACAGCACTATGTTATCAAAGTTATGCCATTTTTTCAGTTCAAAATATTTCAAATTAGCAATAGCTATCCTTAATTCAAAATTGTTTAGTCTAATCATTTATCAAAATAACCCTATTTTTACTTTAAAATATTTGTAATGGCAGGAAAAAGTCTTTTCAACTAGTTAAAATATATATTTTAAGCTGCTTTGAGGTTTCAAGCTTATTTTAGTGTCTTTTTACTCATCCTTAAAACTGAGTTTGAAACTCCTGCACAGCTAGGCCAATTCTTTTTAAAATTACTTGCTAACTGGATGCTAAATTTTGTGCACTCTTGGTATGAGCTCGAAGAATGCAAGAAGACCCCCTTTCTGAGGGAGATGGGTGGCTTAGAAATATGAAATGCAAATTAAAAATAAAATATTCTTAATGTTTTGAGGTTAGTTAAATGAATAATATTTTTTCAAACTTGAGGAATATGAAAGTGTTCTCCATAACAGTCATAATGCTGCTGAGAAACATTGTTTTTTCTTCCTATGTTTGGAGACAGAAGGATTAGACATGACTGATCATATTTCATGGCTGGCTTAGTTTAAAGCAAATATTTTTCATTTTTTCTTATGGAGAAATGACCAGAATGCAGGGGGTCATTTTAAAGCCCAACCTTTTGGCTTTCCTGGGTCCCACTGAGTGAAAAGAAATTGTCTTGTATATATCAAATATACAATATAGTTAATGTATATAAATCACTAATAATGTTAAATGTTTATGATCTTGTGGAGTTTACATTAGTTGCTGTCCAGGGCTGCATATGGCCTGCAAAATGGGTTGGACATACCTGATTTAAAGGCTACCAAATAGTTCCATGTAAGAATAACTTAGGAACCCTACTTATATGATCTATCTCCACTAAAGTTAATGAAAATTGAAAGTGAGTTAAAATATAAAATAAGATCTATAATTTGTCTGGGATATTCACAAAAAAACCAAATTATTACTCATTTGCTAGCAATAATTATTTTTTAATTTCATATGCAAGCATACATTAGATTTAATTGCAAGAATCTCAGGGCTGTACATCTTTAAGAATTAAAGAGTTTAATTAAGCATATTGATAATACTTGTTGGGATGTTATGATTAACTATGTAATATGCAATACATTAAATATAAATTTTACATATCTAAAGGCAGGTAATCCTTGTAAAATTGTTGTTTTATAGCAGAATTTGATTCGGGGAACACATTTAAATTCCATTTTTTCATCATAATTTGAATTTGTAACATATTCCATACATGAAAAAGTTATTATTCATATTATTTTTAGGAACTAAGATAAACTGACATAACTCCTTCCTAATAGTATATATGGGAAAAACTTCTAGCAAGTTGTTTAGTCTAGCTATAAAAGTGGCCCAGACTCCTGAATGTTGATAAAATCCGGTTACTTCCTAAATGATATTATCCTTCTCCTCTTTGCTACATTCCAACTGAATGTGAGAATGTGATCAAATTTACATGATTGTATGACATACTAATTCCTTATGAAGTTGCATGCATTGAAAAGAAGGTTTTAAAATAATCAGCATAAACTAATAACTCTCTCTGTAAAAGTCAGTTAAACATAATGTGTAATTGTTTTGAAAGTTCCTTAAGGCAAACTATAGGAATTACAAGATTTTTTTTTACAAAAAAGATTACATTTCTCAGAAGAATCTGAATTTTACTTGGAGTGATCTTTTTAAAAATGTACTGGAACTTCATTATATGTGAATAAAGTTTAATTTTAATTAATTATATTTTAATTAATTTTACTATATTTGTTGCCTTTCTGGCTATCTTAATACAAGTACTAAACACCAATACAGTTTTTCTTTGTATTATTAGTCTCAGCATAAGTCCTACCTCTTCTTCCTTCAGTAATTTCTCACGTAAGGCAGCATGGGTGAGTGGCTTTTTGTGCTCGGAGGATGCCATGGAGCAATCAGTATATGATCCCTCTGTTTTTCTTCTCCTGACTGATGTAGATTGTTTCTGTAGTTGCTATGACAGAGAGCTTTCAGAACTGTCAAAGAGAAGTACCCTCATTGGCTGGCTGGTGCTTGCTTAAGGAAGGGACCTCTCCCTCCCCCCCCCTCTCTTTCTCTCCCTCCTTAAGAAGAGAATTCTACAGGAAAATTGTTTATGTTATGTGCATAATATAATATCTAAATTTTATTTATGTTCTCTGCCATAGGAAAACTGTAACTGGATTATTAGATCAGTTTTATTTCTTTTTTAAAACTCTTATTCAAAGCTAACAAAACCTGAAGTAGTGTTTCAAAATCAGAAGTATAATAAATTTATTTATTTACTCAAATGCTATATTTGCCCATCACAATTCTATCGACTCTGGGTTTTAATTTATGGTTACACCAATTTCTGATTTCTAATAGAAATTACAAAACTACATTATATTTACTAAGATGAAATCCAAACTATGCCATCAACCCTGAGTTTGCTATATGTAAACTTCCAGCTAAACTAGAGTTATAGTGTTGAAATGATAAAACTCTGTCACTAAGCCAATACTGAGTGATATTTCTTTCTAAGATATGTTTTCATTTTATTAATATACTTGCAAGAAGTTCCAGGATATTCTTTTGAACTTCCTATTTACCTCTATATGTTATCTTTCATGACTATTCTTATAATTTTACTTTACAGAGGAAAACCTGTGATTTATCTGATCTTCTTAAAAACATCTCCCATTTTCTTTTTCTTGCTATTTTGTTCTATCCATCAGGCATTCCTGATCTATATTTTTCCCTAGAATTTTGCATTATTCTCTTCAGTCATTCATCTTTCTTATTGCCCAAGATATTAATATGTCCTTTTACTCTGTCTGTTATAATGTTTTGTTCTGAAAACCACTTTATTTTTCTTGTTTCAGTTTTGATGGGGCCCTTTATCATTTTCTAGATCATCTCAGTTCACTGTTTAATTTTTAAAAATGAATATTTGCCACCAATAATTCATGATGTGCTTCACAATCTGCATTTGGAAGTTACTTGGTTGACTGAATTATACTCCTCTATTCCATTTTCTATTTTGTAGCCAATTTGGTTTCAGTGGGTTTTTTTTTTTTTGAATATATATATTTTTATTTTTACAACAAAAACAACAAATAAAAAAACATCTTTCAGTTATACATTGTGTCATCTGTGTACATGTATCTTGTGCACATAGAAATATTTATATACATTTCTCATTGAATTTACATTCATATGATATTTTAGTCAATATTATATATCATATTTTATCATTATTACAATATCATTAGGTTTTTTATTACAATTACCATCTATCTTTAATAGCAAATCCAACTCTTATGTTCATGTCATGACTTATTCAAAATAATCATTTGCAATATGTCATTATTACTATATCCTTTAAATTTTTACTCTATGTTAGGAATGATAGTTACCTAACTGTTGAAACCAGGATAGTCATTTAATACTGTTGTATCTTTAAGAGAATGTTGTAATTGTGATTGGCTAAGGTTCCTCCGACGGCCATAAGATGAAGCCAGAAACCTGGTTTGTTCTCTTCTTGCATTTCCTTGTTGCCTTTTGCCTGATCGTCGTTCTGCTTGGATTTCTGTGAGTCTTGTAACTGTTAGCAAACTCCGTTTACTGAACTTTGTTTATGATACTGGACTTCATTTTTGGATTATCCCTGGACAGATTGTATTGAATATTACCTACTTTAACCGTGTATGATTTGGAATATTTGTTGGACTTTGTTTACCTACATTTTACTATTCAGTGTATCTGTGTGTTGGTTGTGTGTTATTCAACACCACTCTCACTACGTTTCCCTGAGTGCACTCGTTCTCCTAATGGGGAATACCTCAACACTCTACTTTCTAACCATCCATAAAATAAATCATAAATCTTATAATACTCCTCTTTTTGCTCTCTAATTGCCAGAATTAACCTACTCATCTCTGCACATTCCATTATTTTCTTAATCACTTCCTCCTCCATCAGAATTTTTTCATTTTTCCAATTTTGAACAAATACAATTCTAGATGCTGCTAATACATGAATAATCAAATATGTTATTTCTTTACTATAGTTTTCAGATAAATCCCCAATAAGAATATCTCAGGCTTTAAATCTATATGTTGTTTTATCATTTTTTCCAACCATGTGTGTATTTTAGTCCAATATCTTTTAGCTTCTGCACAAGTCCACCAATATGGTAATATGATCCAGGTATCTGGTAACACTTCCAACATTTCGCTGATTTGTCCTTATGATTTATATTGATTGTTTCTAGTATGATTTGATGCTTATTGTACCCTGTGACTATCATTCGTACCTTATGATTCTCAACTCTTGACAAATGTATCTTTTCCTTTATGTATACTGAGAGTATTTACACCAAGACAAATTCTGGTGTGTCCAATCACACTTGGCCAATAAAGTATTATATTCTATTTAAACATCTTTGCCAATCTTGCCGGAGGAAGGTGCCACCTGTAAAACATCTTATATTCTCTTTATAGGCTTTTGATATTGTTAATTTATAATTACTATTCCATAATTTCTGCCATTTATCCAAATCTATCCCATATCCAAAATTTTCCCCCAAAGCAATCATCATTTCTTTAACTTGTTCTTCTTCTAATTTCACTCCTAATAAATAGCCATACATTTTTAAAATCATTTTCTCTTCAGTACCTGTTAAAATTTTATCTAATTCTGTCAATTCTTCATAAAACCCATCTGTCTTAACATCTTTCTCATATCTAGAGTGTATTTGCATATATGAATACCAATTCATAGTCATCCCTTGTTCATCTAATTCTTGTTTTGTTTTGAGTTCACCCTTTTCATTTAAAATATCATATCTAACAATGTGTTCCATTTTAAAAACATTTGGATATACAAGTGCCTCCATTGTTGATAACCAGACTGGTATTTTCAAATAATGTTGTTCCCTTATTTTCTCCTATGTTGACAATAATGCATCTCATACATAATGTTGTCAAAAGTAACCATGTGCCTTACTTTCCTTATACCATAAAAAAGCATGCCACTCCAATTGCAGATCATTCCTTCCAATATTAACAGCCTAGTATTTCTTAAAACAATCTATTCTTTCATCCACATCAATACTATGGCCTGATAATATAATTCCTAATTGGGTAGTCCAAAACCTCCTCTCATTCTAGTATCTTGTAGCAATTTTAATTTAATCCTTTTTCCCCTGCCATATATATTTCAACATCATTTTATTCAAGTCCTCAAAATATTCTTTCCCCAACTTTATCGGGATTTTCTGAAATAGATATATTCTTGGTAATATATTCATTTTGATTGTCGATATTCTTCCTATCAAGGATTGTTGTAGATTTTTCTATTTTTTTTAAGTATGTCACAATCTGTTGTTTTAGTCTATAATAATTATCCTCCTTAAGTGTCCCACATTTGCTGTCAATTGTATCTACAAAGATTTCACTTTTTTGTGATCTGGATATTTAATTGGCCCATCAGTTCTTTCTTTTGCTTTTCAGTTATGTTCTTCACTAAAATCTTAGTTTTTTCTTTGTTTATTTTCAATCCTGCTACTTCCCCATATTCTTCTATCTTTTCTATCAACTTAGGGCCTATTTCTAATAGCTCATCTAATATAAAGGCCAGATCATCTGCAAATGCCTGTAGTTTATATTCTTCATTCTTTATCTTCATTCCCTTCATTTCCTTATTTTTTCTAATGTTTCTATTTAACCCTTCCAAAGTCAGTACAAACAGCAATGGTGACAGAGGATATTTATTTTTATTTTATTTGGTTTGTCAATTGATTACAAGATAATAGGTATAAGTAAAAACATAGTTATGAATACATGGATACATATAAGAAAAATAAAAGAAACAATAGGACAGGGACAGTAGGCATGTTGGTGCGCTTATGCACGTCCCCTACAGACCTCTTAGGAAAGGGGTGAGGTCAATAGTAGACAGTCTAACGTTAAAGTTTTTGGGGTTTGGGGAAGAAACCACAGAGTCAGGTAGAGTATTACAGACATTGACCATTCTGTTGCTGAAGTCGTATTTCCTGCAATCAAGTTTGGTGTGGTTTACCTTGGTATATCTATTGTGTGCTCTTATATTGTTGTGGTTTAACTGAAGTATTCATTGACAGGTAGGACATTGCAATATATAATTTTATGTACTATACTTAGATCGGACCAAAGGCAGCGTAGTTCTAGGTTGTCTAGGTCTAAAATTTCAAGTCTGGTGGCATAAGGTATTCTGCAACGAGTAGATGAGTGGAGAACTCTTCTTGTGAAATATTTCTGGACTTTCTCAACTGTGTTAATATCAGATACGTAATGTGGGTTCCAAACTGATGAGCTGTATTCAAGAATTGGTCTAGCAAATGTTTTGTATGCTCTAGTTAGTAGTGTAGTATTACCAGAGAAAAAGCTACATAAGATTAGGTTAACAACTCTTAATGCCTTTTTGGCTATGTAGTTACAGTGGGCTCTAGCACTTAGATCATTAGAGATGAGTACTCCAAGGTCCTTTACAGAGCTTGGCTCATCAACAAGGTCTTGACTATTCAGCCTGTATTTTATTTTCTGATTTTTTCTGCCAATATGTAAGACAGAGCATTTATTTGTTGAGATTTGAAGTTGCCATTTGTTTGACCATTCTGATACATAGTTGAGGTCTTTTTGAAGGGTAGCAGTATTGTCTGTTGTGTTGAATAGCTTTACATCATCATCAAAGAGAACGCAGTTGCTCTTAATATGATCACAGAGGTCGTTTATGTAGAGTATGAAGAGAGTTGGTCCAAGAACACTGCCTTGGGGGACACCACTGTTGACAGGTACAGAATTTGATATGACACTCCCAATTTTGACCATTTGTTATCTATTTGACAGGAATGCTTCTACCCAGTTATGCAGGTGTCCAGATCCTTTT